TGTTTTATCGTGATATCGAACTGTTTTATTTCAATCATCCTTCTCCTTTTATAGATACACTTTCTTTCTCCGGGGCGCGTCACTCAACCGGAGAGAACGAGAAGGAACACGACAAAGAGGAAGATAGAATATACATGACAAAGAGGAAGAGAGAATACACATGACAATGAGGAGAAAGTCGTTATGTACATTGCCTAGGATAGGCCGAGTGCTTATATCGGCACAGACGCCTCTAACTGACCATCACTACTACAATAATTATGATGAATCATGTTTAAAAAAAGTAGCAAACACCTACGCTATATACAATTATATCCGTTTGTCCGCAATTTTCTTTTTTTTTCCATTACCTTGTAAGAAAAAATAGCCCGAGAGAGAGAAAGATCAACCTACTAATAAATTATATATATATATATATCCAATGCTTGATCATTTTTACATTTATATAATTTTTAAAAGTTTGAATATTATATTATTTTCACAATTTGTGTACATTTACGATCAACAATCAATTTCATTATGGCAACAAATACATGTTATGTTATACCATTTTTAATGATTATATTCGTATTAAATAACATTAATGGTCAAACATTATCTACTGTATCATGCGAACCTGTATTAGAGAATTATTTTGACTATTTAACTGAGTCACATCCTACTACATATCGTTCTTTATCCATTCAAGCTACATATATATTGGAAAATAGATATGTTGCATATTATATTGGGTCTCTTAATTATGTTAAATCAATTGATTCATTAAATGGTACAGTAATAGTATCATTCAGCGATCGAACATGGACTCCACCATGTGGTTTATTATTGTTTTGTCCTTCTCAAAATTTTAATTATAAAAATACGGATACTCAAACTATTGTAATTAGTAGATCAGGTGCCATTGAATTTATTTTAAACAGTTGGGGAAATGCGAAATTCTATGGCCAATTACAATGTTATGGTGTAAATGAACCACTTTATATAGCGCCAACAACAGAATCAGCATCTATGTTTGCTATGACATTAGAAGAGGAACAGTTTGTTATACCACAATAATCATCTTTAATATCACTGAAAAAAATTCATTTTTCTCGTTACAAACTTCGTATTTTTCTTTTTCATTATTTTATCTAATAAAATTTTAATCAACGATAAAAACTTTATACCTGCTTGTAAAGTACATAACGAAATTTCTGTGACAAAGATTTATCTCTGATGATTTTTTCCTAAGAAGCAACAATTGACAAATAATCATGGAGTTTGGATTGATATAATATTCGCCTCTCACATACGATTATAAAATGATGATTGAACGCTTCTGCAACAGTTTATATTGCAGTTAACAATAATCAGCTGTGCAAAAGTTCTAAGACAAAACAGAATATTGAATGACACAATTAACATCATACCTTTCTAAAGTCTACAAATAATGACTAGACATGTAACGGTCAACTCAATATTTGTACATTATCACTTTAGGTTTTTTTTCCATTTTTCATGACAATTATTTCAAATTTCAATGTAACTAAGTTACATGCAAGCTAAAATCAGTAAACCTATTTTTCGTTATGAAATTTTTTACTCGTTTTAGCACAGAAAAATGAGCCTCTACGAATAGTAATTGAACACGATTGAACAGCTAAGCGATCTTCAGTTTATTGTAGATATGAATAATCATATCCAACTTTTCTGCCCGATTCATATGCGTTAAAATTTTAAAATTCAAAGTTTGATAAAATGTACCCTACAGCAATATATATACGACAGACTCGAAATGTCTTACTTATTCAATTACTATTCATGGAAGTTCGTTTTACTGTGTTAACAATAGTTGAACGTTCGGTCCGTATGGAGAGAGAATTACACCTTTTCAGAGTGGAATTATGGTTATTCATCGATGAATTTATATAATCTTCAAAATAGAATTTAATTCTGCATAGAATTATACAAAAAACTTTGAATACCATAATGTGGGCCTGGGGTATGAAGGTCGATGTTTACATCCACATCCTCAAGATAGTTAAGGTGCACTGATCTGAATTCATACCTTTGCAAGGGCAGACTCAGGTACGATTTATTTGCTTCGAGATTGGTGTTCGTTGTCCTGCGGCGACTCTACGTCAAACACTCGAACTAGTGTATAATCCTAGCCTGAACCTTATTCGAAAGTTTTCGAAGGGTTTCCGTGGAAAATCTACAGCACATCAATCTATTATTGTTATGATGAATTAACGACCGATTATAGTGGTATACAAATCGACCATTATCTACACTGGAACTGCATTCAATCCTGACATGACTTGGATCAATATCTTGATGAACTAAATCACGGAATCATTTCTGCTATCTTTGATTGTCACATGCTTTCCGGTTTCGATCGAGTATTTGACTTTTATTGGGACTTCGATAGTACCGAATTTCATTCCCATCATCATGCGTCTAATAAATATAATCAAACTTCTCAACTATTTATTCATTGCCGGTCGCGCACAGCCAAAGACGACTATATGTAATCGTAATGATGAGAACAAAAATGGATTATTTCGCCTTTTGAATCAATATGAACGGAAAATCATATTTATCAATTGCAGTTATCTTTTGAGACCGGAGAAATATGAGAGAAAGTGATCTGCAATAACATCAATATCATGACAAGGTTGCAAATTCTACTTGCTCTCTAATTCGACATCGAGCTATCTTATTCTTGGAAATGATGAGATGATCACCCATCGTGTGGGTGCTTGTAACGATCAACTGGATTGGAGTAGCTTGTGCCACTCTCGACAAAGATATTTATTAGGTTACTTCAAGTATCCAGAGTGTAACGACAAAACTAGAGAGTGTCGCCTATGCCCGTTGGCATGATGGTGTATTGTGTCATCTGACATCTCTCGTCGTGTCCCTGCTTTACATTGAACACACGCTGATATAGGAAAGTGAACAAGAGAGATATAGAATAGAACGATGGTGAGAGAACAAAAAGAGAAGGAAGGAGAATCATCGGAGCGTGCCATCAATAGCGGCACAGTGCTAGCCGTTCTTTTCTCTTTATTTCAAACATGCGAGAATCGTATTTCGTTTTAAGATTCCACAAAAAAGCAATTTACAATTCTTATACTGATTCACTGCCATGGAGGTTCAAAACCTTTTTCACAAGGATGTGGTTGTCCTCAATGATCGGATTGGTAGCGGCAGAGGCAGAGATAGGTCCGGTAGTGACAAGGCCGGTGGAGGTGTCAGTGCCAGAACCGAGGACAAGATTGGTAAGAAAGAGTGTGTTGTTACGTATAATTAGACCGGTGACAGCGTAGGCGTGAATCCCAGAGACCGAGGTTTTCTAGATGAAGTTGTCCTCCAATGTGATGTTGCTATTGCCGGTTGGGTAGGGTGTGGAGTTTCTGTCGGTGTGGACGAAGACACTGATAGCTCCAGGCGTGATGATTCCTCTGGCGGAGAGGTTTACATCAACGCCGATATTAACGAGAATATTGTCGCGCACAATAATATTATCGACCCAACCTGCTTCACGCCACTGGCCGAGCTCGGGGCCGATGGAGATAGCGCATTTGGTAAGATTCTCGAAGCGATTGCGCTCGACGAGGCCATTGTTGGCCATGATACGCAGACCGCGTGCACGGTGGTCATGAAAGTAGCTGTCACGAACGATGAATCCCGGACAGTTGAGCTGCGGGATGTCAAACCACAGGTTTATAGCGAGAGGTGTGGTGGGCGTGGCAGAAAGGTTGACCTGATAAGTGGTAACTCCACCAATTGTGCCAACAACACTAGCAGAGGCAAACACGGCAGTACCAATCACGTTAAAGTTCCCTGCAGCATGTAAGCGTATAGTGTCACCAGCTTGCATAGGGTTGAGAAAGGCGGAAGCGGAACCAGGGTACGTGAACTGAAAGCTTGTAGTTGAGAGAACACTGGTGATCCGGAAGAAGTAGCCGTGAACATTAAGAGAATCGTCATCCTGGTGGGAAATTTCACAGTTTTCGATGAGAGGTCCCTGACGACATTGGACAAAGTTGATAGCATCGGCACTGGTGGAAAAGAGACGCGGCTGGGTCGCACCGACGGGCTTTGGACCTGGCCGTAAAGTCACGCGACGGAAAGTGACGAGGTCACGGCAGTAACGACCAGCAAACCCGAGAGTGGGTGAACTGAAGATGGTGAAGTCTTCACATGTGACAGGGCCAATGTTATCACGGATTTCAACAGCGTTGGTGGCGTCGACTTCGCGGCGATCGATCACGATGAGATCCGAAGTGGTTAGAGTGGTCGGCCAGTTGGGGCCGGTCTTGGTGAGAGTGTCTGTTCTAGGCGTGATGATATTGAGGGTAGGCTTATAATAATCATATACGTCGGGTTGACGTTGATCATCGGCCGTGAAGAGATGTGTAGGTGGTGTGGTGCCGAAATCAGTGGTAAGATCAGGGTAGCCATTGTGGACCATGAAAGTGATGACGGTCGAATTGGCTGCAGTGATAGTACCTTGGGTGAAGGGAAGTGGCTCATAGTCGAGGGTAAGTCCATGAATCGTGAGATTGTTCGCGTTAGCTATGCGCAGGGTGATACGCTTACGGTTGGTCATGACCAATGTCGCACCGGTGCCATCGATCTTCAGGTTGGCGGCGTTATTAATGCCAATTTGATCCGTGAGTCGATGGATACCAGCTGGAAGAACTACAAGTGGGCGACCGGTGGTAACGGCGTTTTGAATCAACGTTGTTGCGGCGGGCACAGGAGTGGTGTTCGTTGGGTTGATAGGTACGGGGGGCGGCAGGTACAGTGACGATTTCCAGTGAACCGGTCCAGAATGGCACTGGTGTGTAAGCAGCGTTGCCTCCGAGTGCTATCGAAGTTTTAAAGGTTATAGATTCCTTGTAACGTCGCCACGGTGGTGTATTCCAGGCAGTTGTCCACGCAGAGACTCTGGTAGCCGTGCCTGCTGCGCGGTTGTCCAAACGGATTTGAACGGCACCATTGTTCCAGACGCGGATGTTAGTTAGGTTGCTGGTGGTATTATCAGATAACCAGAGGCCATAGCCGATGTTATCGTGGATAAGGAGATTGGTGGCACTGGTGACACAGCTATTAACGTTGGCAAAGCCGTTGTCGTTGGTCCAGAAGCGTGCGCCATTAATTGTACAGTTGATGGTGTCGTGCGCTGAGAAGCCTTCGTCGAGTTTGTTATAGGCTGCAATATTTTCGAAGCCAATGTCCATGCCTTCCCCGTGAAGATTGAAGTCATCGTTCAAACTGCCAGTGGCGATTAGGTTGCGGTAGAGATGGTGAGATACAGTATTCAGGGCGACGACGAAGAGGCGTGCAGAGATTTCCCAATTATCGGCCGAGGTGTTGGCATTAAGTTCTAGAGTTTTACCATCAGCACGCAGCGTGATGGGTCCAAGAAACGCGCCAGTGGTTTGATCCTGAAGGATGCGCCGTCCTTGCCAAGCGATGACGACCGGTGCCACATCGAACGTATTTGAGAGAGTAGAGATCCATACACCACCACTAAGGGTGAAGTTGACTGTATTGAGACCTGTGATGGTCTCACCGTTGCCTTCAACGACTATGGGCGCGGTGATCGTGCCGGATCACTTGATGATGAGGGGATCACGGTATGGACCACTGCCTTTGGCAAGAATGATCGTGTCTCCAGCGACGGCAGCGGAGGCCGCAGCAGCGAGGGTGTTGTATGGAGCGCCGCCACGTTGATCGACAAGCAGTTCCGAGTGAAGACCCTATCAGAGAAAATTTTGAAGAAATCATGTTTATACGGGTACAAGTAATGTTTTCACTAAAAGTCTCTAACGTTTGTTTACCAATCAGGAATAAGTAAAAATGAGTTACACGTCTTTTTTTCTCATTGATTGTTGATATTGAATTAAATAGTTGTCTCAACAAAAAGTAGGTTCCTTTATGTAAGAAATAAAATCTCCGAGACAATAACGTGCGCCTGAGAACTGGATTGATTGTGTTCAATTGCATCTGTATCACTTTATCAACACTAAGAAAAAGCGCAGAATATTCAACCGTTGCCCTAGATTTTCCTTTTCATAAACTCTTGAGGGTTTCATGATCCAAAGGGTTTTTGAGCGTAAGAGTATTTGAACAGGCACGGGGTATATGGAGCTCTTTTAAGGGTTTTCTATTTCATATTTTAAGGAAAGCAGTTTATTATTAAACGATTCGGGGTAGATTAATAAACGCATTTTTCACACACGTTTCTAATTCAGCAATGAAGAGTAGATTATTATTCGGTTCAAATAGAGAGTTTATTATAATACGCTAGAGGGTAGATTACTATTAAATGCTATTCAAAAGGTATATTAATCTACGTCTAAGGGTAGGTTATTGTACGATTTCAGACAGTTTTTAACAATCATTTATACATTTTCTCTATATCTTTTATATTCAAAGATATTTGTTAAAAATGATTCATCACATATTCATGAAAAACGTTTTTTTCAGGTATCAATCTATTGTCATTTTATAAGTAGCTTCTTCTCAGATAGACAAGAACAACTATTAAAACTTTAAATCCGTGCTTTTATATCTTGATGAATTACCTTCTGATCATGCCAAAATACCGGAACATTATCACGTATGTGTCATTTAGAATTTCTTCTATCTCTTTTCTATTTGAAAACATTTCTTAAAAACAATTCATCATAGATCAATATGCTTTTTCATTAATATTGTTTTTGTTTATTTAGATCGATACAACTAATGAAATAAGCTCCTCACAAAGATTGTCCCCCTTCATCCATCTGTATTATTTCATCGTGTTATGTCAACCACAATATATGCGAGTATATCGTAGCTTGAACTCATCTTTTTTATATTCAAGGCAGTGTCTGTGGATAAGATTTTTCAGATATTCATTTAGTCTTTTTAATAAAAAAAAAATTTTCAGGTCAACAACAATAATTAGACAGGAACTTCATTGTCGGGCGTTTTTCTTGACCAATTCAGTTTCCGATCATCTGGAAACGTAGAACGAGATGACAAATAAGTTAGGTTACAGTTTAGTTCATATTTTTTGTATCCAGGGGAAAATTCTTCAGAAATTTTTCTGATTTCAATGCATTTTTTATTACTAGTTTTTTTGTTTTTTGCTTAGATGATCAGCGATAGTTAGGATCGCAGTCGCGTATAATTTCTCTTTATTTTTCAGGTTCTGTTCAGCTTGTGCTTCTTAACATATTTATTTGGTATGGGTGATTTAAAATTTAATGGACGTCGCTTCTACTTAGGAAAGTAGTAACAAATGTTTTCAATATATTGTTGGTTTTTAATATCTAATCTTTTTTATTTTAGTTGATTAAAATTAATATTCAACTTTGACGCAAGAAGTACTATTATAAGTTTGTTTATTTCAGAATTATCGTATACCATTCAAGATCATGACGGTAAGTGTAAATTATAATTATAACTGACATTTTTGTTTTGTAGAAATGTATCAAAAATGTGGTTTATATATCAGACTATTACGTTGTCTCAATAGAATGTTTGATTTCATTTTGATAAACAATGAAGAAGAGAAGTTCTGAGATTACTAAATTTTTTTCAATGAGTTGATTCTATCCTGTAGGTTATTGTGAGTAACACACTAAAATATGGCAATAATTATAAATTACATTTCATTTCATTTCATTTCTTTTATTTCAAGACAATAAGTTAGATAGGTTTGTGCACATATGGATATGTTTTATATTTTTCAATAAAGGTTTTCTTTCTGCCTAACTGCAGTATATTTACCCAGATTTCTGAGCAGAATTTCTTTGCTAATAAGATCATTTCTGGTCGGTATAGCAGTAATAACAATTCAAAGAGACTCTTGCTGCTTTGAATTATGCCTGATGTCTATTTCATCAAGAAAACTCATTAAAATTATAGTACAGATACTAATGTAGGTTTTGGTTTCTTTGATTTTAATACCACATTTGCATTATGAAGGAGATCATTCAGGACGTTTTCTACTATTTCCTAATTTTCAGTTGGGCGCTGCTGGTCGAGTAAAACGTACAGAAGTGTCTATATTGAAGCATCATTTACATTCAGAAGAGCAAGGTTCAATACTAGCTATTGTTATTAAAGCTATGCATTAGATTCGCTAAGCCCCATTTACTCAAACAGGAGAATTCATCTAAACGATGTTGATTAATCTTTTATGAATATCATGTTGCCTTTAGTACACTAATTATAAGCTTTCTTTAGTGAGGTGCAATATTTCAGCTTCTTCTATAATACAATATGGCTATGGTTATTGAATGAAGCTTTATTATATATAGGTGAGTGTGTTTTTCATTCTAATATTTTAATTGTCTTTTTTCATGCGAAGATTGATTTGTATCAAGCAGTACTTTCAATTATTGGAATTAATAATAACTGTTCAATGTAAGAGGGAACAATACATTGACAATATTAGTAATGTCTTCAATAAGAACTGTTCTCCTAATCAATTACTGATTTTCCGTTTGGATTCTGGCAAAAACATCTTCAAAACAAATGAATGGCTCTATAAATGAAATTTGCTTGCTCTCTTTGAATCAAACCCAACAACATGGTCAAACTCAAATATTATTTCAAGTAAGTGAATCAATTGTACGATTTCATAGATGAGAGTGTAAATAGGTCAGGAACGGGATCTTCGAGCAATGATAACCCTGAAGAGTGCTACTTTAATACTACTAAAAGTTCAATATTTAGTAGAAGTTTAGATGATTATTATAATATTACGGAAGAATCACATGATAATTTTACTTTAGTACTTCACGAGGTTAGGATGAAATTCTAAGGAGTTTCTTAGTAAGATAGATGGGTTTAGAGGCTTTCTGGATGTATTCGTTTTAAACCGCTAACTACAATCGTTTACGAAGTTGCTTTGTTTTCTGGTGACAGAATTATCCTCTCTCTCAAATTTCTCTTCTCTTCGTATGCTTTAACCTGATAATTCTCTTGTTTATTAGTTAATTTATTGACGGTTCGATCGATGAAATCGATCTTCTTCAGAATAAAATAGGAAATGAATACAGAAAATTTAGTTTTACTGATGACTCATCCAATTGTCAATATTTTCTTTATTTTCCTTATAAATATTATATTACAGTACTGGTACGGACAATTAAATATCAAACAAAAGAAGTTCTAGTATATAGCGTCTTTTCTGTACCAGTACTGTAATATTTATAAAGGAAATAAAGAAAAAATTGACAATTGGATGAATCGTCAGTAAAACAACTTCTTCTGTATGCACTTTCTATTTCATTCTGAAGAAGATCGATTTCATCGATCGAAACGTCAATAAATTTACTAATAAACAAGAGAATTATCACGTTAACACATAGGAGGAAGAGAAAATATTATACACAATCACAATAATTGAAATCAATCAACCCTTTTTTCGCTTTTTACTCTACGGATATTGTTTACAGTGAAGTGTAGTCAAGTGATCCGAGTACTCTCATCTAATTTGGTTACATCTGACTCAATCATTCAAGTGGTCCTATCCAAGCTAATGTACGCTACATGATCGAAGAATACACGCCCAAACCACTGGCATACAAAAAGAGATATTGACCCGACTAAATCCACGAACTGATGCAACAGAAACTGTGCGCATCGAATCAATGATTCCATAATTCAAACCTGCATCATGTGTTTTTTTTCCGAATACGTCCGAACATCGACAGTTTTTACCTTGTCTGCGTCGGTTGCTGTCGATAAGAACCTCCTACAACAATAGTTCGAGCAATTTCATACCGAGAAAGAAATATTCAAATATCTGCGACAACATACCCTGTACGTCAACGGTGACAACGAGGAGCAATAACAACAAAGCGAGGATGTGAAAAGATTGCTTACAAATCATGATGTCGATTATGATTTGATATTAACTGATACCACGCCTTATAAATCTATTCTATTGTTATTTGATACTAACGTACTTTTGTAGAGAATACTACAAAAAACGCAGCTGGGTTCCTCTTTTTTTCAATTTATATCTCAGCCTTCGACCTTTAAAAGGGATGGAACATTTGTCGTTTACCAAGCCTGGCAAATCCATATTGCTATAACGTAGAAAGCACCAGAAAGGGATTCGAACTAAGCTGAAATGCGAATAACAGTATCAATAGGGCTATTCAACGCAATGTATGGTCATTGATAACTTGAATTAGCTTACGTCATGCAAATTCCGTTTGAGTTACCAACTAAC